CCCAACTAACAATCTAAGCAATAGTGGAGAGGCTACCTTTAATGCCCTTCCCCTATAATGAGATTGACAACTACCTTATATACCATCCTAGAGCCTTTATCTAGCAGCTGATGGAAACAGAAGCAGACACTCAACAGCTAAACACTGAATCGAACTCCTGGAATCCAGTTGCAGAGAGGGAGGAGTGATGAGCAAAGGGATTAAAACCAGATTGGAGAAATCCACATAAACAACTGACCTGAACAACGGGGAGCTCTTGCACCACAGTTTGATAGCTGGGAAACTAGCATAGGACCTACCCAGACCCCCTGAATGTGAGTGTTACTTAGGAGAACCGGGCTGTCTATGGGGCCTCTGGTAGTAGATCAGTATTTATCCCTAGTATACAAGTAGACTTTGGGAGCCCATTCCACAAAGAGGAATACTTACTCAATCTACACATAGGAGGGCCTAGGCCCTGCCCCAAATGATAATGACAGATTTTGAAGACTCCCCTTGGAAGGCCTCACCCTCGCTGGGGAGCAAAAAGGGGATGGGCTGGGGTTTGGTGGGGGTGATAGGGGTGGATGGGAGGTTGAGGGAGCTGGGATTGACATTTAATATAAGCTTTTTTCAAATTTAAGGAAAAGAAAAGAAAATTGAAAGTTGTTTTTCAGACTTGTTTCCAACAGTAAGTGATACATAAAGTAGAAACAGAGAACATTGAAAACTCAAGTGGAGTCAATCAGAATAGTCAAGCAAAAATTTTAAGATGTCAAAAATGGTATTTGAGCCCAAAACAGAACACATATTTTTTACTAAGTGTTCAAATAGCTTTTCAAGAATTATATTGCAACACAGCTAAAGGAAAATTAAAATATGGGAGAACTCACAGCTGGAAATAATTTTCCAATCATTTGTGGTGGGCATGGTAGGGTAGGTCTGTAATCTCAAACTCAGAAGGTGAAGAAATGAGCATCAGCAAGTCCAGTTTATCCTTGATTATATAGAAAGCAGGTCCTTGGCTAGCCTGGTGTATGTTAGACCTTGCCTATTACAAACTAACTAACTAACTAATCAAATACATTTTTTCATAGTTAATTTGGGAGTTAGGACTTTCTCAGGTAAGCCAAAATGTCCTTGTCACTTTAGATAAACATAAGAGTAACTCAGACTCAGAAAGACACTGTATTTACTCACTCATAAGTGGATATTAGATATAAAGCAAAGGATAGCCAGACTACAGTCCACAATTCCAGAGAAGCTAGGTGACAAGGATCTCTCTGGGAAGGGAAATTAGATGAGATATACTGGGTAAACAGGGGGTGGGGTGTGATAAGGAGAAGGGACGAGAACACGAGGGAACTGGATAGTGGGGGGCGCTGCAGTGGAGGACCATTAAAAGTGATATCTTCATAGAGAGAGCCACTATGGGGTGAGGGAGAAACCTGGTGCTGGCGTAATTCCCAAGAATTCACAAGGATGATCCCAGCTAAGACTCCCAGAAATAACAGAGAGGATGCCCAAACTGGCCTTCTCCTGTAATCAGATTGGTGAATATCCCAACTATCATCATAGATCCTTCATTCAGTAACTGAGGGAAGAAGATGCAGAAATCCACAGCCAAGCACCAGGCCAAACTCAGGGTCTAATCCAAAAGATGGAGGAAAGAATATATGAGCAGGGGAGGTTGAGATCATGAAGGAGAAATCTACCCAAACAGCTGAACCAAGGTCACAGAAACTCATGAACTCTAGACTGACAGCTGTGGATACTTCAGGGGACACAACTGGACCTTCTGTATGTGGGACTTGGACTATCTGAGGGGCTCCTAGCAATAGGATCAGGATACAAACCTGGTATATGGGCAAGCTTTTGGAGCCCATTCCCAATGCTGGCATGCCATGCTCAGCCTTAAGGCATGGGAGAGGGGCTTAGTCCTGCCCCAACCTATTGATTCCTCATGGGAGCCCTTACTGTAAGGAGTGGACTGGGGTGTGCCGGGGGAAGGGGTGGGAGGGAGAACTATGGTTGGAATGTAAAATGAAATTTTAAAGAATTATAAAAAGATATACATAATATTTCATAAACTATATTAATCAATTCACAAATAACAGAGGGCTTAGAGTATTTGCTGGGGGGAAGGGTATCTAGGCAGAAGGAATCCTTTGTCTGATTAACAAAATTTCAATAAACCAATAAAGCTCAAAGTAGAGCTATAGAAAAACGCCAGACACTGAAAACATTTGAAATTGATCAGTATTCTCAAATACAGCGGGAGCTTTCTCTGAGTGTAAACTCTAGCTGCCATTTCCATATGTGTAATACATCTCTGCCTTTACTTTCTTCACAGTCAGTTGAAAGCTTCAAGATGCTCACAACACAGTCTGACTTGAGCAGGACTGAAGCTGCATGGTTGCTTTCCTCCCGGTCAGGTAGGATCTGCTCTGATACCTTTACACGCTCATCTAAACATAGGCTTTGCATTTGTGCTAATAGTTTTTGTTCTAATGATATTAAACAGGTTGGAAAGAAGCAGAACTGATTGCTGTGAGACATACCAAGTTCCATTAGCTCGTTCCCCACTAGCTGTTAGTAAGTGGAACTAGGTGAGGGAGGTTCCTACTGCAAGTAGGTTCTCATGGTCTCAGCACCCACATTGTTTTCCAGTGGTCTTCGCCATCCTCAACTCTTGGGGGAAAAGACCATTTGCCTTTAGTTACATGCCTACTAATCAACAGTCACTTTCACAGAATGTTTGAAACTTCTGACAACTTACTACTATTCTTATAAAGGTTTTTTTTTTTTTTTTTTTTTTTTTTTTTAAATATCTGGCCAAGGGATGTTGCTCCATGATGGACTGCTTGCTTAGAATACCAATACTCAGCAAAGCAAACCATCCTGCTTCTCCACAGCAATCTGTATGCATTTAAATGTTTCTTGAGCTCATACTCTTTCATCTCTTATATTATCCTATCATTATCTAATATCAGTTATTACATATACCACATATTGATGTATTTCTTAGAACAATGGTTTTAAAACTCCTTTTCTGTGCCTTGGTCTTTTCTTCTTCAGGCCATAGATACCATTTCTATGGCAGACATGATCAAGTGCTTTTATTTATTTCCTTCCCCCGTGACCCTACTGATACAATGTACAGTAGCCCAGTCAGTGGACACACCCCTAAATTCTTCTTAAAAACCCCTGCAAAGCACGGTTCAGTTTATTCTGATAACCACCACCGGGCTTCCCACTTTAACCACCACCTGGCTTCACACTTTTGAGCTATCCATGAATACCACCCATCTCAGTTTTTTGTTTGGTTGGTTGGCTGATGTCAGCTTGTGGTAGCCAATAGAGCTGAGCCTAGGTTTCATCTTCATGCTGGTGTGAGGATCCACAGCTACTCTATGACTTCACTTCCAGATCTGTTTTGAAGGCAGGTAGCTTGATTGTGATGTTACACTGTATGGATGTCATGCTGGTCACTTATTAAATGGCTCTCCTGCTGTCAGTCCTTGAGGGACTGTCCTTTTACAGAGTCACCTGGGTGCTTAGTTTAAGATGGCCTTACTTTTAAGCTAGTTATCATCAACAGGCAGGGGGAAAAAAATCATGCAATCTAACTATGGGTAAATTCTAGAAGTGCCTGGTCAGTACAGAAACTTGAAGGTCAAGGTCCATAGGACTTATCAACAAATAACAGATACCCACAAGTTTGGATACTTGTAGCTTTTAAGGTGATTAAAGTGTACTTCACACCAATGCTTTTTAACTGAAGAGCAAGATGGGTTGGATTTTGTTTTTATATAAATATTTCAACAGTTAGGAGTTGTACTTTTTATTAATGTATTGGTTGGTTTGTTTTTAAGACATAATCTCATTTCTTTAACTGGGCTGACCTGGAACTTCCATTTAGCTCAGGCTAGCCTTAAACTCACATCACTCATTCTGCCTTGGCTTCCTGGCTAGTTAGTATACTATCACACATGCTTTTAAAAATGAGGACACACTTCTGAATACTAAATACTAAGATTGAGAATTTCCTATTTGCAATGATCAGTGATATTGTAGAAGGCAGTTATTTCTCTTAAATACATCTGTATCATACCACATCTGGTGCCTCATAATGATGTCATCTAGATGCACTTTAAACCAAGTGGTCCTGCTCCAGCAATTTGTCCTCCTTAACAGTCCAGGGGACTGTGCTAAATTCTCCTTGGAAAGGAGCAAATCCTCCAATGTTTTCCCTAGTAAAACTCCAGATCAAGTAATGCTTATTCACAGCTTCCCAGAGGAATAATCTACACATCCACACATAACCCTTTAGACTAGTGGTTCTTAACCTCCCTAAAGCCACAACCCTTTAATACATGTCCTCATGTTGTGGTGACCACCAACCATAAAGTCATTTTCGTTGCAACTTCATAACTAATTTTGCGACTGTTATGAGTGGTAATGGAAAGATCTAATATGCAAGATATCTGATATGCAACCCCTGTGAAAGGGTCGTGCTAACCCCGAGGGCGTTGTGACCCACAGGCTGTGAACCTCCAGTTTAGGCTATCACAAGGCCTGCAAAATAAAGAACCAAACGACAGGCCTCCCTCAGCATCAGCCCTGCCCAGCTTGGAAGCCCCGAGGTGAGATTTACAGATCTGAACAGGACGGTGGGCGCCAGGCTGTCCTCTTTTGAATAACCAGAGCGATGCGAAGCCACTGCCACCCACCGTGGCTCTATCTCAAGCACTTGGAGTGGCACAAGACAGAGGGAACCAGCCTCAAACAGCCAGGTGGCCTCGCCCAGGCCCCGCCCCCAACTGTGGGCCCGCCCCAGGGCGGGGCCTATCCGGCTATTCCCCGCCCCCTCCACGTAACCCGGATACACATTGCTGCTCCCCTTTCACCTCGCGGCCGTTGGCCTACTCGGGAGGCCGGGCGGCCGGCTGCTGCTTGGCAGGCGAGCGGGGCGCGGGGCGCGGGGCGCGGGGCGCGGGGCGCGGGGCGCGGGGCGCGGGGCGCGGGGCGCGGGGCGCGGGGCGCGGGGCGGCTCTCCCCGGGCGGCGATGGCGCGCGCGGGCGCCGGGAGGCGGGCGCCGTTGTAGCGGACTCAGCGGCGGGCCTGAGGCGGCCCAGGCGGCGGTCGCGCTCGCGCGCCATGGCCCCCATGGGCATCCGCCTGTCCCCGCTCGGGGTGGCCGTGTTCTTCCTGCTGGGGCTCGGCGTGCTCTACCACCTCTACTCGGGCTTCTTGGCCGGCCGCTTCAGCCTCTTCGGCCTGGGCGGCGAGCCGGCGGGCGGGGCGGCCGGCTCGGAAGGCGACGGGGGCGCGGTGGACCTGCGGGAGATGCTGGCCGTGGCGGTGCTGGCGGCCGAGCGCGGCGGCCAGGAGGTGAGGCGGGTCCGCGAGAGCAACGTCCTCCACGAGAAGTCCAAGGGGAAGACGCGCGAGGGTGCCGAGGACAAGATGACCAGCGGCGACGTGCTGTCCAACCGCAAGATGTTCTACCTGCTCAAGACCACCTTCCCCACCGTGCAGGTGGGTGCCGGGCGCCACCCTGCTCGCAGGCCCCGGGGCCGGCGCGGATCCGCGCAGGGGTCCTGGGAGGCAGCGGGGGGGGGGGGACGCGTGCAAGGTCACGCGTGGTGCGGGAGCCGGGGGAGCTCGTAGCTTTCCCGCTCAGAGCCACGCTCCTCCTCTCCCACCCGCGTTGAGGATGGGCGGGTGTGGTCCGCACTGCGGGGAGCTGGGTGGGCTTTGGTGCCGGCCGAGTGACCGCGGGCTGCTTTCTACGTGAAGGGGTTGAACCCCTTGGGCCTTTGTATTCTCCTAGGATTTTATGCCTAGAGGAGGTCATGCATGGCTGTTGAGTCCCGTGTTTTCTGGCCGACAACTAGGCCAAGGCCAGGCCAGTAGAAATCTTCAGTGTGCAGAGAGAGCATCCGGAGCAAGGGGGTGTGCTCTTGAAGCGCCCAAGCTCTAGTAGCAAGACCCCGAGTATAAATAGTCTGTAGTTTGAGCTGCCTTTCAAGGAAGCCTTTGGAGATACTGCACTCAAGATTCTTAATGTCAGAGAGAACTAAGTAACATCTACCTTCTCAGTGGTAGGGTTCTTGGATAGGAGTTGACATTTGTTTTGGACATTGTTGTGATTTTTTTTTTTTCCTCTTGTAATTAATCATTTCAGTGCGGCTGCTTTTTCTTTTTTTGTGCGCCTTGTGGATGAGTGTGTTTGTGTGCTTGTGTGTGCGTGTGCATGTGCACTCGAACACGCTTTCTTGCAGGGTTCTTTAAGTAGTTCACGCAGGGCTGGGACTAAGTTTAGATTGAATTCAGGATCTTGAATGCTGGGATTGCAGGAATCTGACTTTTTTTTCAGTGGGCCTTTTCCAGTTTATTGAGGTTCTGTGGGAAGGGCACAACACACAGTGTAACAGACACTTTTAAATGTATCACCTAACAATAGGTAAGTTTTGGCTTCTGGAAAGAAAAGTTGCTCCCTACTGTTTTATTGATTAGATAAGCAATAAAAATGAAACTTGGGTTTCTTTGGAATTTGTTGACCTTCTGATCTTAAAAGAATTAGAGCTATCGTCATTGAAGACTCTCACATCTTATGTAATGCTCTCCCCTTCTTACATTACTGTTGTAGATTTCTTTCCTGTGTTTGTATCACTGTCTCCTCTTTTTTTCCTCCATGAAACATTGGATGTCAACTATTAAACTGCTGGGTATCAGGTGTCATTGGCTTTAGTAGATTTTGTTTTCACATGCCTTCCCAAACAAAACACTGAACATTTCCACTTTTTTGTTCCATACCCTTTTATTTATTACCATGGCAAATGACACCATTGTTTGCACCTAGATGTGAGATATATTTGTGAAATACCTTTGTCTTTCCAAACACATGAATATCCGTTAAGAGTTAGTTTGTGGAAGAAATGGGAGTTTGGGGATATTGACAGATGATAGTTACATAGTACTGTAATGAATACATTTAATGTATTCTAGCTAATGGCTCAGATAGTGGTCACTTTGAACACCATAGAAATTTTTTAAATTATATTTCATTTGTACCTATTTTGCAAATGGGTAGTCAGGTTCATAATACTCCTTAGCTTATATGAGCTTCTCTTGGAGGAAAAAGCATGCATTTAAATATACAGAGACTCTTTCTTATTTTTGAATGCCCCGCCTTAGCTTGGCTCATCTTCGGTCAGCTTTTCTTAAATTATCCTATCTCCCTTTTACCTCTGGGCTTTATGTTTATTCTATATGCCTTTCTTTTGATCTTACTCCCTGTGGCTTGCTGTATGACTAGATGGCTGGCCCTTGATGTCCACTCCTCCATCCCCTTTCCAAGATTTCTCTTATTAATTCTCTCTGCCTGCCAGCCCCTCCCCGCCCCCCCCCACAGCCTTTCTCTTTCCTAGCTATTGGACATTCAGCTCTTTATTAGGCCAATCAGATGGTTTAGACAGGCAAAGTAACAGAGCTTCACAAAGCTAAACAAATGCAACAAAGAAGAATGTAAACACATCTTTGCATCATTAAACCAATGTTCCACAGCATAAACAAACATAGGACATCTTCAACTAATATTCCACAACAGAAATGTAGCAAGCATAACTACTTTATTAAATTAAGGTCAAGTCAGATGCATTGTAAGTTTTTAAATATCTGTGTATGTTTGTGTATGTATGCACATATGCTCAAGTTTTCTCATGTTTGAGAATGAAAAGAATAATGACCAAAGGTAACATGTGATGTTTCATTAAAACAACACTAAGCTTTTAGCTTTCAGTTGTGTTAACATAGTGCCTTAATAGAAAGTAATTGTTTTCTTGTGGTTGAATCTTTGTCTGCCTTGAGTGTTCAGGTTAGGTATTGTCAGATGACTGATATAACAGAATATTGTGTTCATTTATGCACATCAGTGGACTTTGGATGTGTAATATGAGCTACCTACTTTTACTCCAGTTATTAGACTAGAATTGACATTAATGTCCAAGAGCACTGTCCTCAATGCTGCTCATTTTTGAAGCTTCACCTCAATTTGTTTATATATTTATTCTATGAAGCTTACCCCATGCTCTCCAGTTCATTTTCTAGTGCAAAGTAACCATTTAGAGGGCACAGCTCTCTCTTCCCTCTTATTGGCTCTCAAAGTGAGGGGGCTATGCTTTGCCCCCACTACTTCTCTTCCTGGAGTTTGAAGTACGAAACTGCGTGATGGCCTCACCTTAATAGACTATAATGGGGGTCACTCTAGAGCACTTGTTGGGGGTGGGCAGTGGCACTTTTGGTTGCCACATGCAGGGTAGAATGCGAACTCATTCAGTGGCTAGAACTCATCCTGTAATGCCCCCAAACAGCTCTCCTTAGGAAATCAGTGTTTGGCTTACTACTTTGTGAGTTTGTGCCCAGATGGACAGCACTCCCCACAAGTATGTGCTGCCCAGGCAAATGCAAGTGTCTTTTGTCATCAGTTCTCTGGTCACAGTCTTCAGGGCAGCTGCTCGACCCCGGAGCAGTTTGGCAATGCACTGTCACTGCTTCAAAGCAGTAGTAACTGAGAGCTGTATGCAGCTACCTGCCTGGTTCTGGGTAAAAGCAACTGAGGTGAGACAATGAAATTTAGTCTTCACTATAGTGCTTGGGATAAATAGAGAAAACAGAGCAGAAGCTCCGAGAACTAGGAAGCAGTGTTATAAGGAAATCTGGAGAGTTTCCAAGTGGGTTATGGTTGGGGTGAGAGAAATAGATAGGGATGAGTCTTCGGGTAGACATCAAAATGACTAAACCAGGCCTGCAGCTAAACCATCTACAGCTATGGAAAACCCTGTGTTTAACTCCCAGTCCTACAAGAGAAATGAAGGAAAAGCAACACCTCTTCTATTAAAAGAAGCACTTGAAGATTTTGTATGGGTTGCTTTATACACAGGAACACAAGTGCCCTCAGAGATCAGAGGCATTGGGTCCCCCTGTGGAGCTACAGGCATTGGTGAGCTGCTGGACTTGTGTGCTGGAAACTGACCTCTTCAGTTTTTAATTTATTCTCTTTTTGCAGTTCTGGGAGTTCAACTTAGAGCCTTACACATGCTAGATAATTGCTCAAATACTCAGCTCTATTTCCATTCCTGAACAAAGTCTTAATGGCCATTCTTTGTGGAGCTGGTTAGTTTCCTCTGTATGAATGTGTCTTGTAGCATGATTTAGTCTAGTTTAGTTTGGTTTGGGGTTTTGAAGTATTTGTTTTTAAGACCTAAAACAGTAGGAAATATGTAACTGAAAGTATGGGGCTAGGACAGGTATGGGGCTGTTTATACATTTTGAAGGTAGCCATTCTCCAGCAAAATAGCTGATGGCTATTTAGTAGGAGGATCTGGCTCTTAGGAGGCTGAGAAGTCACAGTCTTCAGGCTGCACACTGAAGACCCAAGAAAGTTAGTGATGTGGTGTAGCTAAAACCCAAGGTATAAGATTGAGTAAGGTCTATTAATAGAAGACTGAAGAATGATTTCACTGCACCCAGAAATAATGTTTAGTCAAAAATCTGGGTACCCATCTTTAATTATATACAAAATTGTGTGTGAATGTCATGTCTAAAGCCATATTAATTATATAATTGTTTATAGATAAACACAGTAGGAGATTGATTCTTCTAAAGGCCCAAAGCCCCCAAACCCCAAATTAACTGAATTACCATAGCTATTAATTGTGTTTAGGGCCTTGAGCTTTCATAATACTGATGAAGAATAGTTGTTTTACCTTTCTGGAGTCCAAGTTACAAGACTAGCCTGAATACCTGTATATATGTATAGATAGGTGTTTATGTGTTATATAGATATATAAGTCCATGGAGTGTACTGACTTAACAACCTTTATAGTTAATAAGTGAGTGCTGATCCCTGATGCAGTTGCACAGATTAACATTTCCATAGATCACCTCTACCATTGCATAGCAGCTTCACATACATCACATAACTCTGGGCATCCTATCATCCCTTACATGGATGTGAAACATTAATGTCTAAAGTTATATTCTATAATGGTTTATGCTTCCCTGAAAATTTTTTCTTTTCAGATCTGCATCTTTCATTTTACTGTATTATTTTTTATGCATCTTACATTGCTCTTTAAATCTTTCCCTTCAGTTTCTCTTCCATGTTGTGCTTTAGAGGAAGAGAATGAAACTAAATAGAATCATACATGTAAGAGTTTATTCTGCCTCTTCAAACTGCTTAGAGTGTTAGTTAATATTAAGATACACATTTGTCACAAAAGACTGAGTAGGCAGTGCTAAAGAAACACTGTCAACATAGCTATCCTTCATACTGTGACCCTGACCCAGTTGTTGTTAATGTGTAGTTCTGCCATGTCAACAGGGCACAGAAAAGTGGTAAACTATTGTTCTTTTCGTCAGCCAAAAAGATGTGTTACATTGTCCATATTTCATTGACTAGGACATCTGATGTTTCCTCTTACAGCAAGCGAGATGGGAACTGTGAACTTTGATATGCCTGAGAAGGAAGTAAG